TAGGAAAGCCTGGATAAAGGAAGATGGGAATTGCTTAGCATCACATATCTGGAAGTTGAAACCAGATTAGGCCATTGATCTAAGATTCTTTTTACCAATTCCACAACAATTGGAACAATAAGTTTGTTCAACTTGGATGGTTCCAAAATGTGACGAGACCCGTCCTAGGCCCTCAGGTCCTAACCCAAACCATTCCAATAAGTCTCAAAGAGTAATATTGACTTGCACAAAGGCTCAAAACGAGAGGTCCTGTTTTTACAGGTTCTTGAGCAACATGATTCGAAAGTAAACATCACATTATGAAACTACGGATTTAGCATCAAAATCAATGAAAATCTCAAGAACTCTTAAAGTTTCTATTTTCACAACCGAGGGTCCGAATCACGTCATATAAACTCCGTTTCTTACCAATTTTCACAAACATAACTTAAATACCATAGTAAATATGTACCGGGCTCCGGAACTAAAATACGGGCTCGATACCATCAAAATTAAACATTGTTAAATTTCTAAAAACCATTATATTTCCAGTAAATAATTTTCTTCAAAAATTCGTTTCTCGGGCTAGGGACCTTGGAATTCGATTCCGGGCATACACTCAAGTCCCATATTTTACTACGGACCCTCTGGAACGGTCGGAACACGGGTCCGGGTGCGTTAACCCAAAACGTTGACCGAAGTGAACAAAAATGATGTTTTAAGCCAAAATTCATTATTTCTTAAAAATATTCACATAAGGGCTTTTCGGATATAAGTCCGGACTGCGCACGCAAATCGAGGAGAAAGAAAATGAGGTCTTGAAGGCCTTGGAACCCCGAATTGGGTTCTAAAACACGAGATAACCTTTTGGGTCATCACATAATTAATGTAAAAATTGCACGGGGCGCCCTATTTGGTCGCCCCTATTTAACCTATACCCATTTTTTTAAAAAGTTTTAACTTGTACCCACTTTTTAAACAACTTCAGCTCCTCCTTCTCCTCCTTCGTTTTCTTCTTCTTTCTTCTACTGCTGTTGGTGCTGCTATGAAACTTTAGTTCATGGGATGATTTCCATAAGTATGTTTATCAGATTATTTAAAAATAAATTATAAATAATTACGTAAGTTAGTAGACAATAATTTGTGAATATTTCCACGTACGGGAAGTTTATGGTCACACTTAGTGATTCTTTTCATGATAATTCTGTTCTCTTCACGTTTATTGTTTCCAAAATTTATGATTTAGATACTGTTGGCAATCTGATTATTTATCTAGTATGTTAGAAAGCTTTTTCAAAATCTTCAGCTTATATAGTGCTGAAGTTTTTACAAATGAACTAAATAACTTCAGCATCTTCTGCCGAAGTTTTTGAAAAAGCTTTATGACAAAACTAATGAATCCAGGACAAAAAAATTTAAGCTTATTTAGTGCTGAAGTTTTTATAAATGAACTAAATAACTTCAGCATCTTCTGCTGAAGTTTTTGAAAAAGCTTAATGATAAAACTAATGAATCCAGGACAAAAAAACTTCGGTTTATTTAGTGCTGAAGTTTTTATAAATGAACTAAATAAGTTCAGCATCTTCTGCTGAACTTTTTGAAAAAGCTTACTGACAAAACTAATGAATCCAGGACAAAAAAAATTCAGCTTATTTAGTGCTGAAATTCAGCTACTATGCTTAAGTTCAGCAATTACAAACAAAAACTTCAGCAAATAGAGAACAAAGCTTCAGCTACTATGCTTAAGTTCAGGCAGCAATTACAAACAAAAACTTCAACACACTTGGTTCAGCAATTTTTGCTACTTCAGGCCCGTCTACTGGAATGCTGAAGTTTTGCGTGATTGTCATTGCTACTTCAGCCCCTTATGCTGAAGTACGCAAAAAAGTGGGTACGGTTGTAATTTTTTTTGCAAAGCGAACACAAGTTAAAACGTGATCCAAAAAGCGGGTATAGATGCAAATGCCCCATAATTAATTAGCTTATAAATTGATAATTACACCAATAATATGGGTCATTAATTTTGGTTTATATAATTACATGTTAGATTCTAAATAATTACTATAAGTTTGATATTGATCGATTCATGGTAATTTGTTAGTTAGAATTTTATTAATTGCCTGCAAATTCTATGCTTCTAAGTTCTAACTACTTACAAGTAAGAATAAGGAATAAATATTAAAATAAGCATTACACAATTTTCTTTTGACTAGATTTAGTGTATGCGCGTTGCGCGTGTTTTTTATCTCGATGAGTAATTTTTTGTAGGAAAATATTGTTTTTAAAATTATATTTAAATTATAAAATAAAGTAAAAACATCTAAAAATGATGAATATTGATCATATATAGCTAACTCAATAAAGAAATATTCACCTAAATGGTATTGAATCCATTGAGTGTGTATACACATTTTGGACATTTTATTTTTTCTTTTATATAATCTATATTAAAGTCCTATTATTTCAACTTCTTACATCGTTCAAATAAAAAAATTAATAAGCAAAATTTTAATTAGTTTTAAAGTCCTAAATACAAAAATATTTNATTTTGACTAACATCATAACGCACAAAGATGAGTTCTCAAAGTTGAGGAAACAAGTTAGTTTTTCTAACATGAGGGGGAGACATGATAAACGGTTGAGAAAAAGTTACGTGGAATGAATTATCATTTGTACATCTAGATCCTCGAATAAAATAATATGAACTTGAAGTTCATAAAAGGATAATTCATGTGCAATTTATTGCAAACCATGCCAGTGCATTTGCTGACCCAAAGAAAGTAACTATATTCTCATTGCAAATGCTCTTATTAAGTCCTAGAAGGACAACGTCTATGGTACGCTTAAAGCATATAGACAAATCGGTTTCAATAAACTTGTTAATATAGAAGATGAGCAAATGATCAAAATGATCATAATAAGGAGGCAAGCGATCTAGAAGATCACATGACATAACACTTCATAAAATCTCAGGAGAGATTCAGGTACCTGAAATATGAATGAAGAGATCTCTATGTTATGTCTTTATGAAAAAATATTGAAACTGATATAAAATGTTTGTCGACGACATCTATGATAGCGCTAAATATATATATGAGGATCTTAAGTCTGAAGAAACAATTCGAATAGAATTGGTTTCATATGAAAGACATGTAGTTCAAACACTTGAAAGTATAAAGTCAATGGTATGTGCAATCAGTTTTCGATATCTTATATGTCTAGCATGACATGAAAACTTGATATGCATCTAAAGTCTATTATATGACTTATATGACTTAACTTATATGACAATCCATGAAGGATTTAAGTTGCTTGAAGCATATACAATTCTTGATCTTGAAGTACCACTTCCTCAGTGCAATTTGTGCACAAATGTATCTTGCTATAACTATATGCATGATAATATGATAGCAAGAGTTTTCACCTCTATGTGAAGATATTGAACTGACGATTCCAACAAAATCATATGAAGACAATTCATATCTATCAAGAATGATGATTTCAAGGTGCAATATATTCATTCAAGTTAATATGCCTAATTTGTTCATCAAATCTCTACCAAAGATTTTTTGAAGATGGTGCACAAGATTGGAATGCAAATGCTTAAGGATGTGAATTGATGCTCTCATCAGGGTGAGTTAATACGGGTTGTACTCTTTTTCCTTACAAGGTTTTGTCCCACTGGATTTTTCTTGCAAGGTTTTTAACGAGGCAACCAAAAGGCGTATTTCTAAACATGTGTACTCTTTTTCCTTTTCTAGAATTTTTTTCCACTGGGTTTTGTTTTACTTAAGGTTTTAACGAGGCACATTATCTGTTGAATAGACATTCAAGGGGGAGTGTTATAAATAGAATTTTATTTATGGTGAATGTCTATATTTAGAGAGATTCTAGGGTTCATTGCTTGGTGGCTAAGTCACCCTCTCCCTATAAATAGAAGGTTCTATTCTATTGTAATTCATCCCAAATTCAATAAGAATTCCCTCTCTCTCTTTCTCCGCTATATTGTTCTTCTACTTTTATTGTTTTATAACAAATTCTTAATTTTAAACATTTTGATAATAAAAGAATCGTATAATTCAATTCAACTTTACTACTAACTGGCTTTAAATAAGGACATTTAGAAATGGTAAATTGAGTTGATTTTGAATTTTAAATTTTGTGAACTTTTTATAAATTTCAAATAAGAAAAAAGTTAATATTCAAAATTCTAGCTGATTTGAAAATTCAAAATATTAGAACAATAATTAAATGATAATTTTGTCTAATGTAAAATAAGTTGACTGTTATTTAATATTTAAAGAAAAAATTATTTTAATAATTTGATATTACTTTTAATTTTGCGAAATATAATGAGTATTTTTACTTTTAAGTTATAGCTTGCGTGTGGCAAATCTTACGCCAAAACAAAAATGGTGACATTTTGAATAATAAAAGAATCTTATATAATTCAATTCAAACTAAAATTAGATAGAGTGAAAATTTAGTTAATTTTAAAGTCTTAAATTAATATTATAATTTTTTGCACAATTAAAGTATTTAATAACCAAAAGTTTAATATATTCCAAATATCTAAAATGTTGAACTAATAGTACTATTTGAATAAGCAGCAAGGATTCATGTTAAGATTAGATAGTCCTAAAAATTGTATAGTTTTATTCACGTGATATACAATTCAACTAAGGAAAAGAAATATATAAGGTAAGTTTAGTTGTTTTTTAATTCCTAAATATTAGGATTTACTACAAACAAGGAAAGAAATTCTAATTGTATTAAAATCCTTAATATTAGGAAAAATAATTAAATTACAATTTTGTCCAATGTGAAATAAATTTTTAAAGGGTAAAAAGGACGAACAACATTTCGCTAAGGGCCTACGTGCTTTTAATATAGTAATAATAATAATAATAATAATAATAATAATAATAGATAAGTAATGATCGTTTTAATACAGTATAGGATAAGAAGCTAACCATGTAAATAAATGATTTTTTCTTTTTCTTTTGTGAAAGGCTGAAAGCGTAAATCTTAAACACATATTTTCCAGTTCAAGGGTCTCAGCAAAAGCCCTAACTTAGCATTTTCCTCTTTTCTCTTTCTCCGCCTCATTGCTTCTAGGCAAATCCCCGATTTACTGGCATCGTCGGCACTCAATCCAAGCGGCCATCGTCGTCGTCGTCGTCATCGTCGGCAATCCAAGCGGCCATCGTCGGCACTCAGGCTCCTCTCCATCTCCGGTAAGTTTTCTTTTTCTTCCACCTCTCTAACTGATTTTAGGTTGCGCTTTCCTAGAAGTAATTTGAGGGTCTCATCTCTTGCGACGTGTTATGGACCGAGGTTGGTTTACATTAGTTTGAATTTTAGATTTACATTGGTTTAAATTGCTATGTGAACCCGTCATAGTTCGTCTGAAGATAATGTGACTTGTCTATAAAATATTTATCCAGTGATATCTATACTCCGTATGGATAATTAATTTGTCTCATGAACTTAGTTTAGAAGTCAAAAAGTGGATTAGCAATTTGGTCTATTATCCCACACTTTTTTTTTTCTGTGGTCAAGTTTGGACTTTGGTCATATTTGTCTGATTCTGTGGCTCTACACTTACTCGGTTGGCAGTTGAGTTGTACTAGCTAGTGACAAAAAAAAATTAGACTACCAGATTAATTGCATTAAATATAATGAGAAACGGTTGGTTGAAACACAAAAATAAGAACAATAATGTAGTAAATGCAGTGACCTCAAACTCAAAAGAGAGTGTTATATGGTTGGATGAGTCTATTGGAAAAATAGTGGTAAGTTTTATTTCTTTCATTATTTCCAGCTACTCAAAGAGTTGTTACAATATCTCATTAAAACAATTGTTACACTTTTTTTGATGAAGTAAGTAGAATATATCATAAAAGGCATCGGGACGATGCAAACGTTACAAAAGAAGTGAGTTTGACAGCTCATTTACAATTAAGTGCTACAAAACTAAAGAGCTGACAAAGTCCAAAAAAACATCAGAGTTATTTACAGTAGTAAGGTTAGCCCAGTGAAACAAATTAACCAGACATCTAGCCTTTAAGCAACCTATTGAAGTTGATAATCCATCAAAACATCTACTATTCCTTTCGACCCAGATACACCAAAAAATGCTTGCAGGTACCATATTCTAGACTTTCTTGATGGTTCTGTCAACTTCCCTTGAGCTCCAGCTCACATATGCCTCTCTGGCATTGAATGGCATAGTCCAGTGTAGACCGAAAATACTAAGAAACATGTTCCATATGTCTGTGGCTACTGAACAATGGAGGAAAAGATGGTTAACAGATTCTGAGTTCACTTGACACATGTAACACCTGTTGGCCAGTTGAAAATTTCTTCTGGTGAGGTTGTCTTGGGTGAGGCATGCATCCTTTAAGGCCAACCAGCTGAAGCAGCAGACTTTGGGTGGCAGTTTTGTCTTCCATACTAGTTTCCAAGGCCATAGATCAATCATCATACTGTTGGAGCACATTTTAGCATACCCTGCCTTGACAGAGTAAGTTCCTTCCTTTGAGTTTCCCCATTTCAGTTTGTCCTTCAGCTGGGTGTTTATAGTGCGATTCTCCAATAACTTTAGCAGGTCTATGTAATCCTCCACCTCCCAATCTTGCAGGTTTCTTCTGAGGATCGGGCTCCATGTGTTGCCTTCTCTGTTATGAGCAACAATGGATTCTGTATTTCCTGCAATAAGAAAGAGATTTGGAAAAGCTTCCTTTAGTGTTGAGTCCCCTATCCATTTTTCAGTCCAGAATTTTGTAGTGGCCCCGTCGCCAATCTGAAAATGAATGTTATTAGAGAAAGCTCCCCATAAATTGTGTATGCTCTTCCATAATCCTGTGCCATAAGGAGTTCTAATTCTATTGGTACACCAATGGTTGAGTCTACCATATTTTGCTATGATAACTTCCTTCCATAAGCGAGCATCATCTTGATTAAACCTCCAGTACCATTTCATCAACATACTTTTGTTATGTAAGACTAGGTCCTTAACTCCAAGTCCACCAAGTGCTTTCGGAAGTGTGACTTTGGTCCATTTCGCTAGGTGAATCTTGTGACTGATGTTATTCCCTTCCCATAGAAAGTTCCTTCTTATTCTGTCCAATTGCTTTTGAACCTTTGCTGGGATAGGAAAGAGTGCCATGAAATAGGTGGGTATGCTATCTATACACTATTGATGAGGGTAAGCCTGCCACCAAGAGATATGTATTGCCTCTGCCACGTAGCCGATTTCTTCTCAAATTTTTCAACTACTGCATTCCATATCTCAGTAGACTTGTATTTGGTACCTAAAGGAAGACCCAGATATGTGGTAGGGAAGGAGCCTGTATTACAACCCATAATGTCTGCTAGTTCTAGCAAATTTGGTACCGAGTTCACTGGGTAGATAACACTTTTGAGCATATTAATGTGCAGGCCAGACATAGCTTCAAATAGCATAAGAGTGATGTTTAGGTAGAGGACTTGAGACTTTTCTGCTCCACAGAAGATGAGGGTATCATCTGCAAACAGAAGGTGTGACACAGAAATAGGAGAGCTCCTGCTATTACCCACTGAGAACCCTTCAAACCATTGTAGTTGTTTAGCTTTTTCAAGCATTCTACTGAGTCCCTCCATAGCCCGTATAAAAAGGAAGGGTGAAAGAGGGTCCCCCTGTCTAATCCCTCTCTTTGGAGAGAAGAATCCCACTGGGCTTCTATTAACAAGAATGGAGTACTTGACTGTAGTGATGCAGTATCTAATCCACTTGATCCATTTCTCTCCGAATCCCATTTGTCTAAGTATTGAGAATAGATAAGACCAACCCAATTTGTCAAAAGCTTTTTCAACATCCAACTTGAGCAAAAGTCCAGCTTCCCCCGTTCTCATTTTCCAGTCCAAAACTTCATTTGCTATAAGAGCAGCATCAGTTATTTGCCTCCCTTTGATAAAAGCATTTTGATGACCAGAAACAAGCTTCCCTATCACCCCTTTGAGTCTTTCAGCAAGCACTTTAGCTACAATCTTGTAAATGCTGCCTATGAGACTTATAGGTCTATAATCTCTTAGCTCTATAGCTCCTTTTCTTTTAGGGATGAGTCAATAAATGATGCGTTGAAAGACTTAACCATGTGGCAGTTTTGATGGAAATGGTTGATGGCGGCAAGTACATCGTGCTTAATGGTATCCCATGACTTCTGAAAGAAGGCCATTGTGAAGCCATCTGGACCGGGGCTCTTGTCAGGGGCACAACTGTTTATAGCATCTCTCACTTCTTCTTCTTTAAAACAATTGTTACATTTGATAACAGTGGTAGCAAAGTGAAGATTATAGAATGAAACAACTGCAAACTTTTTCACTTAACATCAACTTTCTTGTCTCAATTTTTTATTCTCCAAGCTCCTCATATCCTTTTTCCCTTTACTTTACAACCATGACATGATAAATCCAATCAACAGTCTTTTATTTAGCTTAGAATAACTATGTTTCTTCTGTTGTAATTGTTATAATATTAAATGAGTAAGAATAATAAATTTGTTATTTGTATATGTAGTTGTTGTTTGTATATGTAGATGGAACATATGTTTCTTCTTTTTGGCGGAGAGCGGGGCAGGCCGATTAAGTGGTTCATTTGAGCCTTGAGGGACTCGATGTCATTCTTAAGTGCGGTTTTAATCTTCTCTTCGTGCTTTCTTTTTTCTCGTTCATCCGCATAGTTCCTAGAAAGTTGTTGAATTGTTCGCCGCATCTCCTCAAGGTCCTCATTTTGTGGATGCCATCGGAGGAAGAAATTCTCCCATTTTGGTTGAACGTGGTTGGAGGCGTGTATAAGGGTAGAGCATATGGCTTTCCTCCGAGCGCAACTATCATCGCCTCGAGTGTGGACTACAAGGTATATACTTTTTTGTTAATAATCTCTTCTTTTTGTTAGCTATGTTTCGCGGCTGTTTTTGGGACCATTTTAGGCTACTTTTGTTGGTGGTTTGTGGTTGTTAGGTGCTGAAAAAGACTTCCATGCTTCTTCCTGAAAAAGAACTAAAACGTTAGCTGTTAGTATTATACTAGTATATATTTTCCATGGTAATCCAAACTATAACTCAAAAAAGACATCACTTCAAAGTTTTAAAGTTGATGAACGCTAATGTTTCTAAAATGCTATGGAAAAGTGGGAAAAAGAAAAGGTTAATTAAAATTACGTAACAAACTCTGGCAAGGGCAAGTTCATGAGAATTCAGTGAGAAACTAGAAGGCTTAATGGACCCAATTCTCTCTAGCTTTGTTACGGCAGGGAGAGGTGGTTTTTGGTTTTCCATTTTCTGGAAACCCCAAATGGAAAAAATTGAGAGAGAACTTTCTTATTCGATGATTTAATGAAAAGTTATTCGCCGAATATATGACTAAGAAAAATAACTTTTATGGGAAGTGGATGTTTGTGTGAAGATATATGGCAGATGTCTTCTAGCTTAGATTATGTAGATTTTGTACATATAAATTCCCAGAACTTTTAAATATGTTGCTCAAAACTTAGCCGAAGTTTCTACTTCATGGTATTTATTGGTAGTCGATGTTCCCTAGTTGAAGATTATGAAGTTAGGTGCTCAATTACTCCATTCTAACTCTTCGTGTATTTTTTTCACTTCGCTTTCGTGGATTACAAGGTATTGGGACATCCGTCACCGTGCAAAATGAGGACGTTGAGGAGATGCGGCGAACGATTCAACAACTTTCGAGGAACTATGCAGATGAACGAGAGAAAAGAAAGCACGAAGAGAAGATCAAAACCGCACTTAGGAATGACATCGAGTCCCTCAAGGCTCAAGTGAACCACTTAATTGGCCTGCCCCGCTCTTCGCCAAAAAGCCACATTTATGAAGTGGATGAATGTGATGGAAACAAAATAAATGCTGAAGAAGATAAGGGGGAATCCGAAGATGAGGAGTGATTTTATGTTTGGTTGGATTGTTTAGTTTGATGTTGACTTTGAATATTACATATTGAAGTTTGGTTGGATAGTTTTGATGTTTGATGGGATAATTTGAATGTTTGGATAGTTTATGAAGTTTTGTTATTGTTAATTTGTGTTTTATTGTGGTTGTATTTCTGTTTCTATTGTATTATTCTGGCTGATAGGTGGTGCAGCAAAAAATAAGTGTTGCCTGCCAAAAATATACCAGATTTATCGAGGGACTTACCGACAGAGTTCGCCGGAAAAATTATTTATTTGTCAATCCAAAATTCTTAAACATACCGACAGATATCCATTGGAATATGAATTTATTCATATTTTTAATTTTAAATTACTAAATTAAAATTCTAAATATACCGATGGTATCCGTCGGTAATTTAATATACCGACGGATGGATTCTGTCGGTTTATTTTACCGAGGAAAATTTTATGGGCTTCCTTCGGTAAAGCCTTGTTACCGAGGGACGTCCCTCGGTAATTTGCACCAAAATTTGGGAGAGCTACCTTAACAGTGGGAAAATTGAGAAAGAAAAAGATAATTCACATGATGTGAATCACATCTGTTGGTGCTTCATGTGCAAGCAAGAGGGAGAGGATGTCAACTATTTATTGCGTCACTGTCCATTCTGATATAAATTTTTGGTGTAGAAAATCATGTCTTTTTGTTTGATCCTCTACTTTAGTATACACCTCTTATGCAAAGTTTCCTGCTCATATAAAAAAACTGTATCTTCATAAAACAAGAAGTCCAATCTGGCTAAAGCCTAACCAACACGGAAAAAATTTTCATGAAACTTTGCTTCTGCCTATCATCTGCAGATTAGCTGTCTCTGTATTAATAATACCTGTTACTCAAAAACTAATGCAACCACTGACTAACCTGCCAATCAGCTGTCTACCTGTACTAATAATATGATAAATAAATAATTCTTCCATTGACTTTTGGTAGCATTTAGATCCAGTCCAATATACATTGAATGTTAGTTTCATTCACTAATCTTGTTAGAGTATGCTAATGTGAGAAGCCCCTATGGACCGAACTTTTCCTCCTTCCAACCTTCACGCTGATATTAATCTTCACTTGTCATTACAAGTTTTCTCCTACTGCAAACATTGGTCTTTATCAGGTATATATTTTTTTCTAATCTCACTTGACACATTATATCCGTAAATAATTATTTGTCTCTTCAGCTATCATTGAAGTGAATTTGTTCAACCATGATTTATTGTTATCGAAGGTTAAATTTGGAAACAAAACATTATTCACCGTATTATCCCAATTTCAATTCAATGAACCAAACAAAGTAAATATTGAAAGAAAAATGTTATTATTAATGAAACTAATATTTCAAGAGTTTGGTTAACTTGCAGGATTATCTAAGAAAGATGGATCCTAATGAAATTGAGGATATGTTAGATCACCTAAGAAGGATCAAGATTGGAGGTGATCTGAATAACGTCAAGATTGATGAAATTGAGACACTTGAATTGGAGCTACGATTTTTGAGAACCTTTATAAAGTACTATCATTTTCTTTTGCCTGATTCCTTAGCCAAAATCATAAAGAAGGCCCAATTGATTGTGGAAATGCTTCACTCAGTTTTTGGTGGAATTCCAGATGAATGCAAAACTAACCTTAATGTGGAAAGGCTAGTATCACATTTGTTGGAATTCATTGGAGGTAATGCCAGTTCAAGATACAATTATGAATTGAATGATTCCTATCTGTCGGAATATATGGATTGCCTCGTCAAGAATCTAAATGATGTACTGGTGTCGCTGGAATTGGATGAGTGAAACTTTTTTGACGGATGGACTTCTCCTTCAGATATATCGATGTTTAAAGCAAGTGAAAATCATTCAAAAGAAAATGAGATTTTTGAGATACTTATATGCCACGGAGATGAATGGTTACATCGACCATGAGAAGCTGGAAGGTCTAGAGACACGAATTCGGTTCATGGCTGACAATGTGGGACAATTCTGTTTCTCTTTGTGGATCTTGGATGAGGATGAAGATGATCTAAATAATATCTTAAGTAAACCTCCTTATCTACTATGCCTGATTATGCTTGTGGAACTGGAAATGAAGAAGATTTTTCGTGGTGAACTAAAAGGTTCGAAGTTTACCCAATCAAGAACTTTTAAGGACAAAAAATTGCCAAAAGGATTTTTGCATCATCTCCGTGCTCTACTGGTGTATCTCAGTAACAAAATTCTTGACAACTTCCCAATTAATGTTTCTGCTCGAAATTTTGATGTGGCAATAGAGTTCTTGTTGGTTTTTCTAGCTGATGTGCCAAATCGATTTATTAATGGGAAGAGATTGAATGAGGTCTTGGAAAAGGTTGTTGCTCTTGTGGGTGAAACATTGTTTTTAAGTCAAAAGCTTCGTGCGAGCTCTACAATCAAAGATCACACCAGCAAGACTAATCTTACCCTGACAGAGATAATTGAGAGAAGTGAAAATTTGAAGGCACAAGTAGAAGAGAGGTACTACAAATCCTTAAAATTCATTCCCTATGGTCAGTTTCCCACAGTTGGTGGAGTCAGCTTTTTGGGTTCTTTTTTAAGGAAGTTGGATGAAATGGTGAAATCTGAATCAGGTTTAGTCATGTTGAAGCATCATACTGGTATTTTACAAAAAGAGCTCTCATCGCTAACATCCTTTATAAGAGATGTCGCAAAGGTGCAATATGAACATGAATTTCTTAAAGATCTTCAGGGGCGTATTATCAATTTGGCATATGAAGCTGAAGTTGGCATTGACTCTATACTTGCTCAATATAATACACTTTGGCATCTCTTTTTCTCACTTCCTACAATCATAGAAGAGATCAAGCATATTAGTGTGGAGATGACAGAGATGTGGTCGGAAAACCTTGATCTTAAGCCTTGCTATGTGGTAGAGCCATCTAAATATTTGCCAACCCAACATAGCAATACTGTGATTGATGAGGAGATAGTTGGGTTTGAGAATGAAGCAGAACAAATAATTCGATATCTGATTCGAGGTACAAATGAGCTAGATATCATTCCAATTGTAGGCATGGGGGGACAAGGGAAAACGACTATTGCTAGAAAGGTGTACGACAATAAAATGATTGTTTCTCACTTTGATGGTCTAGCATGGTGTTGCATTTCCCAAACATATAACTGGATAGAGTTACTACGAGAGATCCACAGTCAAGTTTCCAAGAACAAGGTAGATAAGGATGATGAAGTTGCTCACATGTTGAAGAAAAGCTTAATGGGCAGGAGATATCTGATTGTGTTGGATGATATGTGGGATGTTAAGGCATGGGATGACTTAAGATTGTCTTTCTCAAATGATGAAAATGGAAGTAGAATAATAGTAACAACTCGACTCGAGGAAGTGGGTAAGCAAGTGAAGCAACATACTGATCCTTATTCTCTTCCATTCCTCACACAAGAAGAGAGTTGCCAACTGCTGCAGAAAAAAGTGTTCCAACAGGAAGATTGCCCACCTGAACTACAAGATGTCAGTCTAGAAGTTGCAAAAACATGCAAAGGACTGCCTCTTGTTGTTGTCTTGGCAGTTGGAATTATTAAAAAGAAGAAAATGGAAGAATCTTGGTGGCGTGAGGTTAAAGATGCTCTATTTTCCTATGTTGGCAAGTGCGAAGGATATAGTCTTTCAACTATGCAGTTAAGTTATGATAACTTGCCTGATTACTTAAGACCTTGCCTTCTTTATATGGGGGTGTTTCCGGAGGATGCAAGAATTCCAGTGTCTAAGTTGATTAGCTTATGGATCGCGGAAGGCTTTGTGAAGAACATTGAATCTGGGAGGTTGGAAGAGGTAGCTGAAGTTACTTGTTGGATCTCATTAGCAGTAACCAGTGGCGGAGGCAGGATCTCCACGAAGGGGGTTCAAAATTTTTTTTTGTAGCTAGTGAGAATTGAACCTTTGAACCTTATGAAGGTTTTAAACCCCCTTGACCACTAAACTACACTTTTGGGTTTTGTTAAAGGGGGTTCAAAACTTAATATATAGAGGTAAAAATCAGATTTTACCTTATATATACAGTGTATTTTTTCGGCGAAGGGGGTTCGGGTGAACCCCCTTCCGCCCCCCTAAATCCGCCCCTGGCAGTAACGTGGTAATGGTTTCATGGAGAAGGTATAACGGTAAAGTCAAATACGGCAAGGTTCATGATGTAGTGCTTCACTTTTGTTTACGGAAGAGTAGAGAAGAAAAGTTTATGTTGGCAGTGAAGGGGCATCATACCTACTTTGAACCTTTAGTTTGGACGATGAACGGCCCCATTGTAACTAGGATGCCTTTCCATTCGTTCTTGGGATCCCTATCTTCTGGTTAGTAAATTGAGACTTCTTAAGGTCTTGGATTGAGTTGCTATGAGTAAATATTTTGTTGTCATCTACATTGCTACCACTAATCTACCATAAGTTCGTTTTTCATCCAAAACCACATCTGCCCCATCTAGAAACTTTAATTGTGAAGTGTGCTGGTAATTGTGCAGTGTTACCAGCAGTGTTTTGGAAAATGAAAAAATTAAGGCATGTTGAGATTAGTTGGACTACTTTTGATTTGGAAAACAATAAGCAGAGGATCTTTAAAGAATCCTCTAAATTGGAAAGTTTTGAGGATATTAAAGAATGTTCTACATCAAATTCGCAATGCCTATGGATTACTGGATGTCTTATCGCGGAGCTGTCCTAATCTTCAAGAACTTGCCATCAAGTTCATGGACTATATAGATTCTGATAGCGAGGATGATGCTGATAATGTGAATGATTGTGCAGTGATTTGTCTCAATTTGGAGAGTCTTACCCAGCTTCAAATACTTCACCTTTTCATTCCCTCGTCCCAAGTTGTATCCAAGTTACACTTGCCTTCATGTTTAAAGAAGCTGGTACTACTATAGACAGCACGATTTCCATTATTGCGGGACTATCAAGTCTAGAGTATCTCAAATTAAGGGATCCAAGGTGGGGCGAGTCAAAGGAACTTCAATCAGAAGAGTGGTGCCTCAGAGATATCACGTTCCATAAACTTAAGTTGTTAAAACTGGATCGCTTAGTTATCTCAAGGTGGGAAGCCTCAGAGGAATCTTTTCCCCTTCTTGAAACACTTGTTATAAGACGG